CCCAGGGATCTCTCTTATATAAAGACAAAGAGAAAGGGATTTGAACGTTGAGAAGGAATCAGAGAACTTTACAGTTGAGATAATCCCGCAAGTGATAAGAGCAGAATTCAAAACCTCTCACTCGAACGTTACGTGCAGAGAAGAGAAAAGAGAGATGAAAGGGAAAGTAAATTGGGTCGTGAGAAGTGTGGCTGCCAAGGAAATAAGGCCAATAAATTGGGCCTGATGGATATTATTGGGCCATCCCTTAGGTCATTTGGGCCACAACAATAACAGGATACTGTGCAGTAACATGGCCAGAATAATTCCTTTTCTATATGTTTGGAGTCATTTGTTTTCTCTTCTATTTTTTAGGTTCTCCGTTATCACTTTAGTTATTGATCTAATCTCCAGAATTGCATTTTGAATATCAAAACTCGTATTTCCATGTGCAGAGCTTTGGTTGAGGGGCTCGCCAGCTGATATACACCAAGGGAGATTGAAGCTGACTGAGATGGAATTATGGTTGATTAACAAACACTCCATAGAGGTTTGATTCCCCTTACATGTTCCAACTTCATAAGCAAAAAGCACTCAAAACCCACCCAGACATTTATAGAATTGTTTCATCCCCTTTAAACATAAGACAAAATCAAAAGTCTGGTGTTTTCTGTTTAATAAGTTTCTTCTTTCAACAGCTAATTCTTGACTTCCTCAGTTGGCAGGAGCAAAGAGGCGAAGCGAACGGTTGCCAAAGACCGCGTAGTTGATCATATAGACCAAGAAGTTGGTGATAGTTTTGGGTCATTTTTGCACGAGGAACATGAAGGTATCATTTCTTTTGCCTTTATTATATCTTTTGAATATTAAGTTGGCAATACTCAAAATCGCTGTAATTGCAGGGGACTGGCAGGTGATGGGTTCTCCTCCTGAATAAACCAAAGAAGAAAATGATTAGTTCATGAAAAGTCCACAATTTTATTTAGAAATTGATCGAATATGGGATGTTGAACATTATGTCTCATCGAGGCATTGAGCTCTGGAAGAGGCATTGAGCTCTGGAAGGCAAAACTACCAGAGTTTTGGTGGGGTTTTACTTTTAAAAGGGGCCTTCTTGTTTCCTGATATGGCTGAATGTGCCTGCTCGGCAGAGGAGATAACCAGACTGCGTTTTCGCCCAACGTTCTTTTTCTTTCTTTTTGTTAAAAAATAAAGAGGTTTGTATATTTATTTTGG